AATTTTTTAAAAAAAAAATCTCAATATATAATAATAAGTGTTTGGAGAAAAAAATTAAATTATTTAATTAATTCCGCTAATTTCTCGCTAAAAAAAAGAGAGAGAGAGAGATTCTTAAATCGGAAAAGTTTCCCCCCGCGCGACGAAGTGTCAGATAGCCCCCCCTTTTTTGAAATACACTCGAGCACAGAGATTGAACACGCTTTTTTTTTTTCAAAAACACGACATTTGTTTCTCGAGACCCATACATATATATATATATATCTATATATATATATATATATATATATATACACATATATTTATATATATATATATATAGATGTATATATATATATATATATATATATATATATATATATATATATATATATATATATATATATATATATATATATATATATATATATATATATATATAAAATTCACTTACTACTTTTATATTTTATTTCTTTGAATTAATTAATCAATTACCTTATCAAGCAGAGCTTCATTTTGCTCCAGAACTTTCTTTTCCTAATCCAAAAAAATAAATAAAACAAATGGACTTAATAATTTGATAACTTTTGTAGCTTACCACTAATTGATTTTTTAAGAAAAATAAGGAGACCCCAACTTAATTAATTAAAAAAAAAAAAAAAAGATTAACAATTTCTAATATTAATAATTACTAATTTTAAGAAGTTTTAAGAAAAATACGGATACCTGCACTTTTGATTTTTCCAGCTGCTCCCTCAATACTTTTTCCTGAAATTAATTGGTTAACTATTATTAGTAAAATGCTTCAACAAATTATTTTACCAGATTTTTTTTTTGTGAATAAAATCCATGAGTTTAAATTAATCAACTTTAGTTTACATGACATTAATAATTTATAAAATCAGATTTATGTTTTCAAATATTTTTTTAAAAAGTATAATGGTTTAGCAAAAAAAGGTTATGTTTAGATAGAGATTTTAGTTTTTTTTATATAAAATATTTTTTACTAATAAAAGTAAGAAAAATATATTTTGCGAATTTACCTTCCTATCCTTGACAGACAAGATCCCCTCCGTAAGCTGTTGTTCTAAATTGTGTAAATCATTGTACGACAGCCCCTCCAACTCCTTTCCAATCATACGTCTAATAAAAAAAACAATTAACTTTAATAATTAATAAATAAAAAAATAAATATATAATCCCCTAAAATATTCATATTGATTTAAAACATAAAATAAATTAAATTGAAACATACCGGTTAACCATATGAAGCTTTTCAATTTCATCTTTGAGGGCAATTATATCAGCCGTCGGTTCGTTCTAAAATAATTAAAGATTAAACGAACATCGGATTACGAGTAGAATTTACAATTATAATCTCATGTATATTAAAAGAACGACGAAAAATAAACCATAATATTATAAGTAGGGAATGTTCGTTTTTTTCGGTCCCAAAATTGCAAAACACATCCTTAACAAACTCGATTCAATAAGTTCGAGGTATTTACACTTTTGGTCCTTCAGTTTTACCGCATTCACAGTTTTAGTCCAATATAATAATATAATTTTACAATAATAATTTAAAAACAATTTACCTGATGATTAGGTGCATGGTCAACTACTGCAAGTTCTAGCCTTTCATGGTTTCGACTGTATCTAGCCAGAATTTGCTCCATCCTTCAAATAAATTAACCACACAAAATAATTAATAAAACAAATATTCATATTTTGTAAGATAAATCAATCAATTAATTTAATTTTGTAACATTCAATTGGTGATATAATCTTTTAATTTTTTTTAATGTGTTAAACGTTTTGTTCAAAAAAAATATAGTATTTTTTATTTTTGGAAAAATAGTATTTTTAATTTAATATATCCAAGAAATATATTTTTCAGGCCCGGCCCAATGTTAAGACATCACCTATCTTTTGGGCTATTCATTTATCGGGTAAATTACAACCACCTCCCTAAGGTAAAGTGTAATTTACAAAAAGCCCCTTATTCTTGAGAAATTACATTCATACACCTTCATTTGTAAATGTTTTACATCCACATCCCTACAAAAGGGTGTCAACGTAAGAAATCTACAAATTTCAGGAGGTGGATGTAATTATTGAAAAAGGTGGGGTTTTTTCGTACATAGAACTTACCTTAGGGGGGCGGTTGTAATTTACCCTTCATTATTTTGAGGTTTATGATAAACAAATGTAACTTGTTGATTAAGGCTGTGAATAATTAGCCTCGTCCAATTCATATTAATATCAATTAATCTTAATCTATTTAGATTACCGTAATATGAAACCCTAAAAATTAAAAAAGAACAAAATGTTTTTTTT